CACTAGCAGTGTGCCACCACCTGGCCCCTTGGTCTAGTCCTTTTATTTCTAGATTCTGTACTGATGAAATAATCAGAATCAAGTATTTGTATATTAAAGTAGTTTTTATTTTAATTCTAATAGTAGAGACTGGAAGCAACTATGTCCAACATAGAGAAACTTTTTTTTTCTTTGGGTTTTTGCCTTAGGGTACGTGTGCTCACAGGGGTTGTGGGGAGAGACAGAGACAGTGAGAGGGGAAGGGAGAACTCACCCCCTTTGGGGAGTGGCCACACTGCAATCCTCTCTCCTCCATTCTCCTCGCAGGATCTTGGGCACATAAGCACATGCACCCACTGTAATTTTCAAGCCATCGGGGCTGGGACTCGGCTATGTAGGAGTCCAGCAGCATTAACTGGTACGCCATCTGCTGGCCCCCTAACAGGGAGGAACATTTAAATACCTCCTAATGCCTTATTATTGTCATTCAAGCTCATATTCTTGGGAAATGATGTTTATGAGACGATGTTGTCGATTACAAGGTGGGAAATAAATACAATAATTGTTTCATAGTGTTTATCATTAAGCGGTGAGATTGTAGGTGATTTGTATAGTCTGAATTTTTGCTATTTTCCTTGTTTTATATATTTTCTAAAAATTTTACAGTGCAACCATATATTAGTTTTAAAATTGGAAAAATGTATGACCTCCCCAAATGATGTCACTAGTACTTAGAGACCTTTATTCTTGACAAGATAAAGAAATTGTAAAGAAGTAATTTTTATAATTTAAGTAAGTTTAAATTTATTTAATTTAAATAAATATTTATGGAACACTTACATGTTAGGTATATTTTTTAAAACTTTATTTATTTATTTATTTTAATTTGACCAGAGAGGGACAGAGTGAGAGAGAGAGCACAAGGGGGAAAATGAGAAAGCAAGCTGCCAGGTCCGGGTCCAGGACTCAAACCGCAATTGGTCATGATTCAGCAGAAGGGGATGTGGGTTCATGAATGGAGAGATGGCATGGTAAGTTTCATGCTGAAGTGTAAGATTAATTGGGCATCAGTTCTTATGGTAGGGTGATACAGGAAAAAGTAGGCATCTGTCTGTTGCTGTAGCATTATCTGAAGGAGTACAGAACAGCCAAAGGGAAAGAAAGGAGATGACTGAGACAAACATTATAGAGCGATCCTGCAGGACTTGGACACTTGTCAAATGTAGAAAGAGCAAGGGAGAGAAATACTCCATGTTTAGTAAAAGCTTTTCTACCTGGGACCAGCAGTTAGTGTAATGGCTATGTTGCTGGATTCCCATGTAGTCAACTGTGGTTCAAATCTCGGACCCGGTGGCTTAAACTCACACTGGTCACATGTGCGTGCATGCCCAAGATCCCAAGAGGAGAATGGAGGAGAAGGGATTGCAGCATGGCCATCCCCCCTGGGGGGTGATTTCTCACTTCCTGTCTCTCTGTCTCTCTCTGTCTTTCTGGCGAGTGCACGTGCCCTATAGCAAAAACCTTTCTAAAAAAAAAAGAAAAGAAAAAAGAAATTTCTACCAGAGCTACTTGGAGTGAGAAACAGGAAGTGATTTGGGGAACAAAAATTTTAAAATTGGGGGACCAGCAGATGGCATAATGGTTACATCGCTGGATTCCCCACATAGTTTACTATGGTTCTAGTCCCAGACACAGTGGCTTACAACTCACACCAGGCACGTGTGCATGCATGCCCAAAATCCTGAGAAGAAAATGGAGGAGAAGGGATTCTGGCATGGCCATACCCCTTGGAGGGTGATTTCTCACTTTCTGACTCTCTCTCTCTGTCTCTCCAATGAGTGCACATACCCTGTAGCAAAAATTTCTTTTGAAAAAAAAAAAGAAAAATTGAAGCATACTGAATTTTAGATTTGAGTAGCTTGTTCTGATGGAATTGGCCTTAAAGTGAATGAAATTTTTCTTATAACTTTATTTGGTACTGTTTTGTGATGAACATTGGAACTTTCACAGAAGCAAATCCTGTCTACTTTGTGAGGGTACATCTCATCTGTTTAAGAAAGTGTTGAGTGAATGCCTGTCATGTCCTGTGTACGATATAGGCAGTAGACATGTAAAGATGGAAACGTCTGGCCCTTTCCTCCAAGTAGTTATCCTTATTATCTAGGAGAACTGAAAATCTCCCCCCACTTTTTTTTGAGAGATTTTTGCCTTAGGGCAGCCGCACTCACCAGAGAGACAGAGAGATACAAAGACAGAAAGTGAGAAATCATCCCCAGGGGGATGACCATACCAAAATCCCTTCTTCTCCATTTTTCTCTCAGAATTTTTTGGCACATACACACACACACACACTCCCAGCACAAGTTTCAAACTGCCAGATCTGGGACTTGAACCATGGTTGACCAAGTGGCAGTCCAGCACCTTAACTACTATGCCACCTGCTGGCCTTGTGCCCAGTCATTTTATTTGTGTTGCATACAGGAATCTCAGCTTCAGGTTTAGGCATTATGATTAGATTGCCACAATATGGGTATTTGTGATAAGGGGGATGTGGTTATTATTGTCAAAAGACTCAAGAATATGGCTGAAAGCCATGCGCAAATCCTTAAATCCTTAGTTTGAGTACGGCGGAAGTGAAACACTGAGTATACTCTAAAATGGAAAGCATTAGGCAAGAAAAGTCCAACACCATAATGTTCTGTACGATGGACTGTTATCAAAATGGGGGAGGCTGTTAATTAGATCACTATAGAATGAGATGGACGGCAATCCTAGTGTTATTATGCCCGTTATTTATTGAGCATTTGGTCTATGCTAGACATAGTGTTAGGTGCTTCATATATTTGCTGAATTCCTCCAAATAAAATGGAATGAAATGCAGGAACCAGCAGTTAGTGTAATGGCTATGTCGCTGGACTCCCACGTAGTTGACCGCAGTTCGCGTCTCGGACCTAGTGGCTTAAAACTCATGCCGGGTGTGTGTGTGTGCGTGCCCAAGATCCCAAGAGGAGAATGGAGGAGAAGGGATTGCGGGGTGAC